GTGGCGTCAGGGTTCTGCTGTGTGTCACCAGCCAGACCTCCTCGTGGCCCGGACCCGCAGTCTGTGCCTTGCATCCAGTTCCCCCGCCCTGAATGCCGCCTCTCCCGGGCTGGGAGCCAGCAGTTCGGCAGATTCCAGGAGGCCAGTACCTCTCTTCTCTGTTCTCTTCCCTCCCCGGTTGGCACCCTCGCAGCTCTCCACACCTGTCCCAGGAAGTCTGCCTCTGTGGTCACTCTTGTCTCCCAGCACGGCTTTCTGTTCCTCTCTCTGTGACCCTTCTCCTGGTCAGGCTGGCTCCTTGGCCACGTAAGCTCAGTGTCGCCCCTCTGCTCCCCCCTGCAGTCCTCTGTCCTCGCTGAGTGGCTGAGCACGGCCAGGTCCTCCATGGTGGAAGTGAAGCCACTTTCCACTTGTGCTCACTGTCCTCCCAGTGGCACCCGGAGGGTTCACAGCCAGGCTCTGTCCATCTCTCCGCGCTCGGGTTCCTCACTGGGCTCCGGCTTCTGCTCAGAAAGCACTGGCTGCTGCTGGTGGCCAGCTGGGCTGGTATGTCCCTACCCAGGAGTGCAGGAGTGGCAGGAAACCAGCTGGGCCCTGTCTGGATGTCCAGGCCTTGGTGAGAGGCGGCAAGGCCAGGCCCACCTCGCGGGAGCCAGGCACTGCGGGGCCCTGGAACCCTGGAGATCTCTCCTACCAGCAGCCAGAGTTCCCAGAGCCTTCGTGACGCTGAGGGCTGAGCTCGCAGGGACGCCCAGCTGACCGCACACCCCTTGTGCTCGCTTCCAGAGCATTCTCTGGATCCCGTTTCCAGAGAAACCGTACCTTTCTCTTACTTGCCTTTTTCCATTTCAAAAAATGTTAACATTTAAACATTTCCACAAAGAAAAGAGGAAGCACCCCCTTAAAGATGCTGTGTCAGAAATTTTTCAGACAGCATGCAGAGATAGCCTGGTGTTTCACCTGCACCCGGATTTCCTGGACGTGAGTCCAGAGAGCAGTCTCCGGGCAGGCCCTACTTCCTGCAGTGAGGAGACCGTTTATTCTCTCGGTCGTAGGGAGGAAAAAGTTCAGGTCCAGAGAAATGGTTTCTTCTTAAGGTGGTAGAAAATACATTTACCTTCCATCTTGTAAATTACGAATGAGTGTTTTCTTCTGAGTAGTTCAAGACAAGGAACATCATTTATGGTAAAGATTGTTTAAAAATAATTGAAGCAGTGAAATCTTGGTAAGTGAACTCTTACATAGAACTCTTGATGTAGATTTTTATAAACTTACAGGTTGATTACTTGCTAAACATAAACTAGAGCTGTTCTGTTTGGGCCAAAAATATCCAGCGACTTGCTGCCTTTCCCAGATCTTCCTCAGATCCCAAAGTGGCTGCAGGGGTGCCTGTACTGGCCTTGAGCCCATCAGTCCAGCTTAAAAAGTACCAGTCCTAAGATACAATAACCAGCGATGGCCAACAAGATTGAAGTTTTTGCATTCTATTGTATTTGGTTTTATGCCAAAACTTCCAGGCTGTACTAGCTTTCAGATATAATGTAGTATGGTAAGGTGTGGAACAAGCCTTCACACGTTTCGCCTGGAGGGTTGGAGTGAAGAAGGTGCAGACCCACCCACTGACTCACATCCTCCGCCAGCTTTCCCCGTGAACCACCTGCCTGCTCCAGCTCCAGCAGGCGCAGGGCTCGGCCTGCTGCACTCCCGACAGGCACCTGCGTCTCATGGTGCCCTGACCCACGGCCGTGACACTCAGGTGGGGCTGGTTCTGAGGTCCCAGCCGCAGGGCTTCGATCCCTGGGGCAAGTGGAGTTGCTCAGCTCTGCTATGTTTAGGGGGTGCGGCGGGTTGGAGCCTGAGCCGGTGCTCTGCCACCCAGCTCCATCTCAGCTGGGTCCTTCCCGACGACGTCTCCCTGCCCCAGCTGACAGCCCAGGGGGTTGTGAGAACCTAGTCCCTGCCAGTGGCCAGCATGAAGTGGGCGTCCCATGGCACAGAGCTGCCCCCCACCCCCCCAGCCTCCGGGCAGAGCCAGTGCCCACTTGGTCCAAGCCCTGTGCCTCCCTGGCTGGTGCGCGGTCCCCATGCGCCGACCCAAGCTTGCCTGGCCGCGTCTCTTGTTCTGTGTGTGATTTCCAGGGAGCCAAGAAGGAACAGCTGACCTGACGCTGCCGTCTATAAATCCCGCATCCCAGTTACAGTTTCTGCATTTTGTCCCAAGAGCAAATTGGGAGAAAAGATGTGTGGCTTGCTGGTGGCCTCAGATCTAGAGAAGGCAGCGTGGGTAGTGTGGTCCCGTTTGCTGTCCATCTGGGCAGGCCTGGTCCTGCGCTCCACCGAGGATGCCAGTGAGGCTGCGAGGAGTGGTGAGCAGCAGGCATGGTCAGGCATGGTGCTTTGTGCTCGTGCCAGGCAGATCTGTTGGTCTCTGGCTCAGGAAGGCCGCGGGAGGCCTAGCTCTGCACCCGGTGCTCCCAGGTCAGACTCCCAGCGTCCCGCAGGGACTGGGGTGGGTGGTGCCTTGGGCACCTCATTAGAGGTCAGCTCAGCTTTCCATAAGAGCGTGGGTCCCAGGTGCCCGCAGACACAGCACAGCGCAGGACCCTGAGCCATGCTGTCCAGAGCCCTGGGCCTCCCTGGGCCTGCAGTGGGAGACTCGTGCTCCCCTCAGCTGTGTGTCTTGTGGCCTTGCCTTCAGGTTGAGGACCTCTGCCAGGTGACAAGCCGTGGCTCCTCCCCTAAGCAGTCGCACATCTGCTCTGATTTCTCTGCATCATTTCCGGGTTGGTTCCATCCTGTAGGCCCAAGGGCCCCACTTTGGTGTCCTGGACCCCCTCACGGCTCTTGCCTGCTGTGTTGGGCAAGTTATTGGTGCCATCCTGGGCAGACGGCAGAGATTCTTGGTTCAGCTTTAGTTTTCATTCATTTCAGTTCTTTTTTTTTTGACTTCTTTTTTGAGGCAGGGTCTCACTGTGCAGTTCAGGATGGTCTTGGGCTCGCTCTGTAGCCCAGGCTGGTCTCAAACTTGCAACATCCTCCTGCCTCAGCCTCCTCAGTGCTGGGATTGCAAGTTTGTGCCATCACACCTGGCTCATTTCAGTTTAGGCCCTCCTACCTCTGTGTCAGAACGGTCAGGAAGAGTCTGTTTCCCGCCTTCCAGGGGTCCTAACTCTGTCATCTTGTGTTTCTCAGCTCCACACCTGGATTCATTCCGGATCCTCCCTTTGTGGGTAGGAACGAGATGGATCTGTACTGTGTATCGTAAGAAAGCCTGATTTATCAACAGAATTTTTTCTGTATTTTCTCTACTGCCTTTTTTAGTTACTGTATATGCTCTACTGTATCAAAGAATGACAAGTGAGTCTGTTGAGTCATGAAATACTCTACTTCCTCCCAGAGCACTGTGCTGCCTTCTCCTTTGGGTGCCACAGGGATAAAGAACGGGAGCACTGATGGCATCACGATAACCTGCCAGCCAGTGGTCAGCCCCAGAGCTGTTCCCGGCCATTAACTGACAGTGTCGGGTTGGATAGGGAGAGCCTGCCTGATAGTGCTGCTGTACTGTTTAATTCACAAAGCTCGCAAAATTATTTTGTTTCCATTTTATTTCTGGTACCTACTAGTCAAAAATTGAAAGATACATTCATGAATTTAGCTTTTTTTTTTTTGCCGGGCGTGGTGGGACACTCCTGTAAGGATCCTTGCAAGTTTGAGACTAGCCTGGGCTTCAAAGTGAGCTCAAGGCCAGCCTGACCTGCACAGGGAGACCCTGTTTCAGAAAGCCAAATGACAACAACAAAATACCACCACAACAAAAAAAACTTAGCTTTTTAAAAATTTCTGTTTGACTTGGGCTGTATAAAATTAATGGAATCATAAAGTTATAATTTAAATTATTTTGCAAGAATATTTATTTAAATCTGTTTGTGAGATGTTGGTATTCTTAGGAACAAAATCAGCTCTCACTGAATTCTGCCTAAAATGGTGATAATAGCCAGGTATGGTGGCACCTGAAATCCCAGCACTCAGGAGACTGAGGCAGGAGGATCATTGCAAGTTCAAGACCAGCCTGGGCTGCAGAGTGAGCTCAGGGTCAGCCTGAACTGCATGGTGGGACCCCGTCTCAAAAAAAACAAAAAGAAAAAAGAAAAAAAAGGAAATGGTGATGATAGAGTACGTTTTCACATAGATTTTAGGGGCTTGGGATGGGTAGCAGAAAACACAGAATAGCTAAAACATCTAAGGGGGACAGTGTTCCTGACTCCCCCAAAACAAGATAGAACATTTCACGGGGTGACTAGAGATTAGCCAGTTAGCGTTAGGAGCCCAAGTGTTTTCTAATGGTTGATCTGCAGGCTAGTTTGTTTCTGGTTTCTTTTTTGTTGTCGTGGGCACCTTTCTGCTACTGTGAGACCATTTGATGGGTGTCAGCTGTTGCCAGAGTCCCGTCCTCAGGGTGTTGCTCTGTGTTCATCATGGACTCTCTGATGGTATTGTCTCCTCTCCTTCTCCACTGAATCCCCTCACTCCCTGCTACCAGCAAGATCTGTGTTGACACAAAGCCCCTGCAGTCCTAAGGAGAATATGGCCAGTGTCCTCATCCTACTGCTAATTATCATCTGCTACATGAGGACGGTTTGTCATGAAGGCATCTCTGAACCAAGGGCAAAGGCGTGGGTGTCTGAGCACGCGGGAACCGGAGGGCTGGGGACAGTCCCCCAGGTGGCTGCTGCCTGCCTTGCAGGTGCTCTGTGTGGTGCTGACCCCTTGCAGGCTCCATCCCTGGCCTTTTGCTGTGCCCTTGGGATAGACAGCAGCTGGATTCTCCTAGCCAGGAGCAGAGTTGTGCGAGGAGGCCCCGCCCAGCGCCCTAGTGGTACCCAGCGTTGCCCAGGCAGGGCTCTCTCATTCCGGAATCCAGGGGCTCCAGTAAGGTACTGGTTAGGGGGCACACAGAGGCGCACATGGAGGTGTGATCAGAGCCTGCCTCTCGCCCCCAGGAGATGCTCTCCGGTGTGGTGGTCATCTCCAGTAAGGACTCCATGCAGCACCAGGGAGTGGCCCTGACGATGGAAGGGGCCGTCAACCTGCAGCTCAGTGCCAAGAGTGTGGGCGTGTTCGAAGCTTTCTACAATTCTGTGAAGGTAAGGTGCGCCCGTGGGGTTTTCCTTCGCCCTGGTTATTTGCAAGGGACGCTGATCCCCATCCTTTGGGGACTTACTGTAAACCTGAAGATGTTCACATACTTGTTTCTAAATAGTTCCTGGTGTGGGGTCTGCTTGTTTCCATCCCTGCTCAATATGCAGGGTTAGGAGGGCCGTGGGTGGCTTCAGTTCACCACTAGAAAGCCCTCTGGAGAAGCCGCTCACGGTGCCCGCTGTCCTGAGTCAGCACTGTCCATAGCTGTGTACATCACTCTTGGTGGAGCAGACAAGGTGCACCGCAGGTGGGGCGAGTGGCTTTTCTTTCGTGTCATGTAGTTTCGTGGTTCAGAACGTGAGCTCCTTGAACTGCTTCCTTTCCCTGGGGAAGAGTTAAGAGATGATCTGATGTAGGGGCTTCCCACGTCTTTGCAGAAGTCATTCTTTTATTCATTAGCGCTTAGAAATTCCCATTCCATGCCGGAAATTTTCTCAGGGTGATGTGAACACAAGCAGAAAGAGCACGTGTGTTGTCATCAGTGGTTTGCAAGGCGCTGGGCTTAATACAGCTCACGTGGTTTATAGGATTATTTAATAATACCCACCCAAAAAGTGAGATGTAGAGGAGCACAAGAGATCTGTCTGTGCACTAGAGATCCGAAGGATCCAGCCGAGAGCCTGGATCCCACGGCAGTGTCCTGCACAAGTCCAGCAAGAAGCTAAGAGCCCGAGACTGTCTCCAGTGATTCCACATCAAGGATCTGCACTGCAAGGTCCAAAGGCCAGTGGTGGAAGTAAGAAAGTCTGAGCTGGGCCGGTGATGGATCTGTGCCAGGCTAAGGGATCTGCACTGGAGCCAGGAAGCAATGCTCAAAGCAAAGACCAGAACTGGGCATGGTGGTGCACACCTGTAATCCCAGCACTTGATAGGTTGAGGCAGGAGACTCACCTTGACTTCAAGGCCAGCCTGAAATTCTCAGCAAGACCCTGTCTCAAAAATAAAATGTTTTGGGGGCTGAGGATTTAGCTCAGCGGCATAAGTGCCTGCCTTGCAAGCAGGCAGTCATGAGTTCGATCCCCGGTACCGATAAAAAGGAAAAAGACAAAAGTAAAATAAAATGTTTCAAAGTTAAAAGCCACAATGCCTGACTAAACAACCTGATTACAGACAGAAGTCTAAAGTTACTAACTTTATTCCAAATTCTTTTCAAACATGCAGTAAATACTAAACAACAATTAAAATTCCAAAAAGCAAGTCAAAAGGAAAATCACACCCACAAGTAAAAGAAAAAAAATTGTTTACAAAGTGCAACATACCAATACAGTGTGTCCATGTTAAAAAGAATAGGGCTTCAGGCTGAGGATTTAACTCAGTGGCTCAAGCTTGCCTGGTAAGCAGGAGGTCGTGAGTTCAATCCCAGTACCAAAGGGGGGAAAATTTACACACATATATATATATATCTTCAAGTTTTAACCCTCCTTTGGTTTCTGTCTATTACATGATTTAAGCAGTGCTTAAAAACCAGTGTTACATGCATTGACATCGGCTCACCTCACTGAAATCTGAATCGGAGTGCTGTTAAAACTCCAGACCTTTCTTCCCATTAACTTTAGCAACAGGTGGGCGACACTGAAGCCCCAGGGTCTCCTGTGCACCAAACCACTGCTTCCTCGTGCAGCCCCAGCTCCACTGGAGCTTTCTTCCTGGCCAAACTAAGGAAAAGCAAAAACAACCCAGCGCACCACTTGGAGTCACCCTGCTGGCTCTGCTCTCATTCCCCACATGGACCCAGGTGGAAGCCCTCCGCAGTGCCCACGCCGCAGTCCCAGAGTGACTGCATTGAAAGGTTTCCACCGCTCAGGCAGTGTCAGTAACACAAGTGACATGTAGACTAGCTTCCTGCCACAGCACAGTGCATACTGCCGGGACCTGCAGCCACCTGGTCCTGCCCAGGAGAAGTCTCCTGAGCCTCCCCCCAGCAGCAGCATGTCTGTCGGTACTGTGGTTTTCCGGGCTCTGACCCTCTGGCCCGTGAGCTTAGAGTGTGCAGGGGCTGCCTCTTCTGCCAGCCTCTAGACCTTTCCATATTAACTCTCAAGGCTCTTTAGCCACATGGCCAGGCAGATACCCAGAAACTCAAGTGCAGAGAGTGCAAGGCATCTGTCTGCGCTAGAGACCTAAGAGTCCAGCCAGATGCCTGTGCTGTGGCTTGGCATAACTGAGGCCATCGTGAGCCCTGCATTTAACTAGTGCCCTGTATTTGACCCAGGAAAATGGAAAATTACTCAGGGTACAAGTCTCATGAGAAAAGCAGAGTGAGCTGTACCCATAAGAGAAAAATTAACCTGCTTAACAAAAGAAGCAGGATACAGTGTCAACCAAAAATTAATGTAAGATTCTAGCTAAATTGTTTCTACAGGATGTCTTTTGTGATTCTCTCTTTTAAAAACTCTAACTTTGCAGTTCAGTGCCACTTGTTTGGACTCTGAACCAGGGGATCTGTATATGAGTGGTCCGAGCTCAGTTAATTAAATTCCAAACTTAGCAGTTTGGCTGCTTGGATGCCTACATTGTTGTTCACGAACCACCTCAGCCTAGAGCCACAGCAGTGTCTCGTGCTAGTCTAACAAATATCCGCACCGGGAAGGCCCTGCGGTCAGCGGTGGAAGCTAGAAGGGCGCCTGCAGGACGACGAAGGACTGTGCCAGCAGCTGAGGGTCTGCACTGGAACCAGGAAGTGACACTCAAAGCAAGGACCAGGGACCCAAGCCATCCTCAGCGACAGTTGTGGTAACAGCTGAATTCCTGAATGTCAGGAAAGCCAGCGTGACAAGCTTCTCCAGCAGACTCGGCAGCACACATCGCCCCCTCCAGTTCTCCCTCCATTCCCTGTGGGCAGCAGTGCTCGGGTGGGCCTTCCACTCCCAGAGCCGCGCTGACTCAGTTCAGCTGGGCATCCCCAGCAGATTGACACCACCACGACCACCAGCTATGTCCGCCTCTGCATTCTGCAGCTCTAGCCATTAGGGGAGGGCAGAGCGCTGTGAGTTGTGAACCCTTACCGCACCAGAGTGTTACACAACGGAACCGGCTGGGCACAGTACTGCACACCTGTAATCCCAGCACCTGGGAGGCTGAGGCAGGAGGGGTGACCCGAGTTCAAGTCCAGCCTGAACTGCATAGTGAAACCCTGGCTCGAAAAGACCAGAAAAGAGAAAGAATGAGAGAAAAACAGGAGCTAACTCAGTGGGCCTGGTGGGCCACCCCTATAATCCTAGCACTCTGGAAGGCTGAAGGGTCACAAGCTCGTGTCCAGCCTGGGGAGCTTAACTTACACCCTGTTTCAAGTTGAAAAATGAAAAGAGTTGGGCCGTAGCTCAGTGCAGAGGCTCTAGGTTCAATCCCTGGTACTGTCAAGGAGGACAAAAAGGCAGCAGTTCACCTCAGTGCTCGTCTGCAGGCCCAGTACCCTGCTGCCAGAGACACCTGGAAGGGCGGGTAGCATCCGGCAGCCAGGTCGCTGTGTCTCCGTCATCTGGGGGACATCTACAAGTATGCGCTGATGGACTGAGTTTGTTTTTTTTTTTTTTTCTTTTTTTATAGCCGATCCAGATTATCAGCAGCACCATAGAGATGGTGAAGCCAGGAAAGTTTCCCAGTGGGAAAACCGAGATTCCTTTTGAATTTCCTCTGCATGTGAAGGGCAACAAGGTCCTGTATGAGACCTACCATGGCGTGTTCGTCAACATCCAGGTGAGTGTCCCAGAGGCTCCGTGGCGTGATGCCTTCCATGTCCTCCTGCTAGAAGCTGGCTCACTCTTCATACCGCCGAAAGGTGCTCTCGGGGCCCAGGAGTTGAGCACCGGTGTGTCCCACGCACTCCTGTGCACTGTGTTGAGTGTGGATTGCTCGCCTCTGCTCTGCTCACCGGGTTTCGTGTGTGACATCACCAAGGGTAGGACCTGCGCTGTGACTGTGTAAAATCCCTTTGCACGCTGCTCAGGCCACATGGATGCTTCAAGGTGCTTCGCTTGTCGGGTAATAGATCCGCCCTGACTTCTTCCTGGCACCAGCACATGGCTCGTTATTTTAGTCTCATAAATTTCTCTCTGTTGAAGACCCCAAGGTGACTTCCTCCTTGAAGTAGGCTTGCATCTTCATTGAGCAGACCTTGTCAATGAGGGGAAGTGGATTTATGACTTCCTGTCTACCCCTGGTGGGCCTGGTGGGTCCCGCAGCTGCCTCTGTCCTCTGTGGAGGGAGCTGGAGAAAGCCTCCCCTTTATTCTGCGGGAAGAAAGCTGCTTCTGTGCTGCCCACCACGGGCTGCTCCCTGCCGGATGGGACAGAGCTCTGCTGGCTTCTGTCCGTGCCCTGGGGGATGACAGTCAGCACTTGCTTTAGTTTAGAAGTTTTCAGTGATAACTGGGATTTGGTAGCACTTAGCATACTGCACCTTTAAAATGAGGATCCTCAAAACACCTGAGAGCTTTAACAGAGGCCTTGTCTGCATGTGGGTTTTCTGAGGTGCCTAGGACGTCAGATGGTGCACTGTATTTGTGAAGAAAATCTTGTGCCCAGCTTTTGGATTAGTGCACCTGTTTCAGGCTAGGCACGCAGGTGTGCACATACATGACACGCCCAGAGGCTTTGGACAGCCCCACATGGTGCAGGTGGTGACGGGCCATATCCGGCTCTTAGAGGAAGCCACTCAGCAACATAGAACACCAGGCACTGGGGCATGGGGGCTCCTGTGACCAGCTCTGGCTTGGGAGCGATCCCACCACGAAGGAAAGGAGCGGGAGCCAGCAGCCAGCCTGAAGCCTCTCGAGCACTTCATTCTGAGAGTGACGTCTGTCATCTGCCTGGAGTCAGCATCAGCCTGCTTTACGCACCCAGGAGTGGTTCCACATTACTTACTTAGTACTAGAAGGCTGCGCTCTTTAGAAGCTGAAGGGAGTGAAATCAGGGCTTTACTGGTCATACTTGCTAGTCTCTTGATTGAGATCACTAATGACAAGAAATTAATTTGTGTAAAATAAAAATGGGAGGGCTGGGTTTAGTTCAGCAGCATAAGTGCCTGTCTTGCAAGTGCATGGTCGTGAGCTCAATCCCCAGTACCAAATAAAGTAAAATTAAAGTAGACTAAAATAAGACGAACTCTCCTTTCCCAAACATTACAAAAACCTGCAAATACACAGGTTGGGTGCTGTGTCTGCACAGCTGTGTGTAACCGGGACCGGGAAGCCACCCAAACGCAGCTGGGAGCTTACGGCTGTTGAATTCCCTCTACAGGAGAATCACCCTCCCTGCCCCATCCTTGCTTCGGCCACCAGGTTTGACTATTTGAAGCTTTACTTCAGAAGGCTGCGACTTTGATTTGCCCGCATATGCAAATACCCCTCAGATTTCTGAAAAAGAGATTTCTTAGTCTGACCTCAGATTGCGTGAGCAAGTCTCCTTCGCCTTTTTCACCATTCAACATTTACTAGTATTTTGCCCTTTTTGATGTTGAGTTTGATTTTTTTGGTGCTGAAAATGGGACCCAGGGCCTGAGTGTACCAGACAGGTCCTCTTCCACTGAGCCCTGCCATCAGCTTTTTATCTGTGTTTGTGTGTATATTTATTTATTTTTGTCTTTTTGAGACAGGGTCTGCTGTGCAGTTTAGGCTGGCCTCGAGCACACTTTGTAGCCCAGGCTAGTCTTAAACTTACAGTGATCCTCCTGCCTCAGCTTCCCGGAGTGCTGGAATTACAGGTGTGCACCATCACACCCAGCTTCATCTGTATTTATTTATTTCTTCTGGAATCATTTCAGAGTTGAATCTTAACACACTTCATTTAAAATTATGTCAGTAAAAGTACATTCATTTCAAAAATGGGAGAGGGGATTCTCCTACAAAATCATAGTTAACATTTTGTTACCATTCAAATCAGTGTAAATCCTTGAAATATCAGTTCCTAGTTCACAGTCAAATTTGTCATTGCACCTTCTGAGTAAATCTGTATTCTAGGAGAAACTAGGCTTATGACTCTTTGATCTGTCCTGTCCATCCATGTATTCAGTTACTGCACCTGAGAGGCCTTTTTCTAGTCTTCTTATTCAGTAGAAAGGACAGTGACTTCCGGTGCTCACAAGACTGGCCTTGGTGTAGGGGTGCAGGGACCGTCCCTCCTCCTCGCCCCCACTGCTGCTGTACTCTGAAGGTTACCATTGATGCATTACTTCAGATAAAAGCACTGTTACTAAGCCCTAACGTCATGTTTCTCAAGTTACACAAACACGAGGAAATTTGTCCCATTTATAATTTTAATTGTTTTGCAGCATCATCATGGAAGAAAAATTACAAACCAAAAATACAGGATTTAACACATAGCCAGTGGGGCTGGGGATTTAGCTCAGCGGGATAAGCGCTTGCCTTGCAAGCAGGCAGTCGTGAGTTCGATCCCTGGTACCGAAAAAAAACTGAAAAAGACAATAAAAAATAAAACGCAGCCGTGTTCAGTTCCCAGCTCACAGGCCGTGGTTGCTGCACGGCTTGCTGCTCTTTCTTAGGTCTCAGGACTCTTTTAGTCATGCTGTGCTTAGTTTCCATCTTTGTTAGGTACTGTGTCTAAGAAACTGTCAGTCTGTCCTAGTTGCTTTTTTGTGCAGTTGCTTTTTCTTTTAAAAAGTGTTTAAATCATAGGTGGTTTTATTATGTTCCTTCTACTGTGTGGCCGTACTAGCGAGAGTCTGCACTGTCCTACAGAGTGTAGGACACCACCATGTCTGCTGGAATTGCACGTTCACAGTTAATTTACAGAGATTCTAGTCCGCCTCCTTCACAGTTCAAAATGACTTGGTGCCTGCCTGTGAGCGTGAGGTCGTGAATTCCAAAAATCCAAACAACCACAAAATCCCCTGCCCTCTGTGGGTGTTAGTGCTGTTGCTGGCGTCTGTCTACTCCTGTCGAGGCCCCAGTCTTTTGCTTGCTGCAGATGCCTGTGAAGCCAGATATCCTGATGCCCTGACTTCTCTGCTGCTACCTTGGGGGTTGCTCCTCAGTGCCTCGGGTGCCCCTGAGGACAGGGTGTGATTGTGAGCCTGGACCTGGGCCTTGTGCTCAGCAGGGAAGCAAGGGTTGGCGTTCGGGGGTCTCTGACAGCCCCCGTGATACCCTGGATCCTCTCTGCGGCTGTGAGCCAATGGCCGTGCTTACAGAGCGGGAGGTGCAAGTCAGCCGGGGTTCCCTGCCCTGGGCCGGGAGCCCGCACCGGCAGCAGCAGAGGACCCGGGCCCAAGTGCATTTCCTGTGGCTGCCCCTCGCCCCACTGCAGTGCCCCCCATGGAATAGTAACTCCTGTTCCTGCCTGGACTCCGTGTCACACAGCCCCTCAACACTGTTCTCTACGCCCTGGCAGCCCTCCTGGCCCTTTGATGTCCCCCGAGGGCAGAGCCCACTAAAACAGCACTCCCCCTCTCCCCCCTAGTACACGCTGCGCTGTGACATGCGGCGGTCGCTGCTGGCCAAGGACCTGACGAAGACCTGCGAGTTCATCGTGCACTCTGCCGTAAGCCTGTCCCCGGCTCCCGCGACCCTCCAGGCCTGGAGTGGTCCCTGCTGTCCAGCAAGTGTCTGCATCCCTCTCGGGTGCTGCTGTCAGGACAGTGGTGGTGGCGGCAACACCAGCCTGGCAGTGACCCCAAGGTCCCTTGTCCGTGTGGGTCACCGGCCTGTACCCCATGCTCAAGTGTGCAGGCGACGCCTCTGAGCTCTTATTCCAGGAGCGAGGCTGGCAGTAGATGCCTCTGGCTTTTAAATTCTGGGCCTATAAGGACCTGGAGGTGCGGACATCTGCGTCCTCCTTTACAGATGGGAAAACTGAGTCCCCATGCCAGGGGCGGGGTGGGGAGAGCTGGTGCAGAGCGTGGTGCTATCCTCCAGCTGAGCTGTGTCCAGACCCCGGGCCCCAGTCGGCCTGCTCACCATGTCCCTCCTGTTCCAGCCACAGAAGGGGAAGCTGACGCCGAGCCCCGTGGACTTCACCATCACACCGGAGACCTTGCAGAATGTCAAGGAGGTGAGTGCACCCTGCACACGTGCACTGAGGGGCCGGGGATGACCCCTACCCTCGTGCTCTTTATTTGGGAACCAACTCAACCAGGGTATCTCTGCTCAGTGTCCATGGCCGAGTTGATGAGGGTCTTCACCCTGACTGCCCTGAGCTCAGTAACGACTTGGAAGAGCACACTTCAGATTGGGTCGTGTGTTTATGACTTTGTGTTTTTTGAGACAGGGTCTTGCTAGGTTGCCCAGGCTGTGGCCTCCAATGCCTGGGTGCCAGCAGTCTCCTGCCTCAGCCTCCTGAGTTCCTGGGCCCACAGCATGCACCGAGGGGCCCAGCTTGTTAGTGATTTCTCCTGTCTCCCCTGCCTTTCACAGCACTGTGGCCCTGGGCCCCCAGCCTTGGTGGCCATGGTTTGCATTGGGCCACCTGCCTCTCACTGTCCTCAGTGCCTTCTCTCACATCGTTTCCACCCGAGCACTCAGTAGCTGGCCAAACCCCAGCACAGCCCCCACGGTCACTATAGATGGGGCCACAGGCGGCTTCCTCCTGCCGCTTTCCGGGTGGGACCTCCCCCCTGGCCCCCTCTGATGAAAGCGGGGCAGCTGAGATGCGGAGTGAGCACCGACCTCGTGCCTTGGACGGGCAGTGGAGGCAAGTGGCATGTCGTCGTGAGCTCTGCGGAAGGTTCTAGCAGGAGACCCCATGCCCCTGTGAACTTCCCATGACTCAGATCTGGTTTCTGAGAGCACCCAACCCAGGACCAGTTGGCCTTCTGTTCCCCACTTTCTTTTGTACATTTTAGATACACACAGTGATCACATTCATCCCATTCATCCCACTGTGTCCCTCTGCATGATGTATCTTGCTGTTGCTTTTCTTCCCATTCCCATACCCTGCCTTTAGCCCCCGATTGCCCTCTTCTTTTACGGAAGCTTTATTTCCTTTTTTTTTTTTTTTTTGAGTCAGGGTCTCACTGAGTAGTGAGGCTGTTGTCTAACTCTTGGCACCCTCCTGTCTCAGCCTCCTCAGTGCCAGAATCACAGGGGCGAGCCACCACGCCTGGCTCTCCCCATCTCTTCAGTCCCACTCTGGTGTTTCCTTTGGGTAACAGCAGGGTCTGACTGCATGCCCGCTCCCTGTTGGGGGAACCCTCCTGTTACAGCGTCCCTGGTGTCCCTCCTCGGGGCTGACACTGAAGTGGTCTCTCCCCTCTGAGGCATCATCTGCAGTGCCCCTTCTGGGGTTTAGGGCCCCACCACAGCCCAGGGGCACGCACGTGTGATCCCAGGCCTGTCACGCTGTGTAGGGCCACATGCGCACTGTCCATGGCCCCCGCACGCCAGCTTTTCCCTTTCTGCAGTGTTGGGCTTGGAGCCCAGGGCCTCACGTGTACTAGGTAAGAGCTGCACCTCTGAGCCACACCTGCATCCACTGTTTCTTTTACTCTCTTGCCACATGGGGCCAGACTGGCTCTGCTCCTCCTGCCTCAGCCTCCTGCACCACCTGGCATCCCACCCGCTGGTTTTTGTGTTGCAGCTGGAGTACCGAGGCGTGAACCTCAGCCCTTGCTCAAGCTTTGCTTTAAGCAGGTCTCGCTAAGCTGCCCTGGCTGGGCTTGAACTTGAGTGCAAGGAGGAGCACTGTCACCACAGTGCCAGGCTCAGCTCTTTCCCAGGCAGAAATGCCCCATGGGGTGGTCGGAGTGGGCCCCTCACAGCTGTGCTAGACAAGGGCGAAGGCGGAAGTCGCCGTCAGTGTTGGCAGACAAGGACTTGAGGGCCTCACGTGGCGTGAGCACAAGCATCCCTGGGCTCTGCCTGTTTTTCAGGGTGGAAAGGGACTTACTGGGAGGTAGGGAGCCCTCAGGGGCACAGGAAGCTGGAGAAGAGGCTCAGGTTGGTGGCCACCATCTGTGTGCATCGCTGTCACACTGCTTGGTTGGTGGTCCGAGCCAGATGTGGACCGCTTTGCGCCCCTGAGCTCCCTGGAGGAGCTGTGATGTGAGCTGCCTGGCTTGCACTCCCTGAACACCAGCTCCGTTCACTGGTGTTTGTAACCCTGTCTTCACCTGCACCCCTCTCAGCCCCTGTCCTTGGGGGTCCAGCTGAGGGCTCCCCTGCTCTGTGGTTCAGTGCCAGCCCCGTGTTGCTCCTGACCTTCCTGACACAGGATGTGGCTGGCTTCGCGCAGATGAGCAGGATGTCAAGCATCGTGACCCAGCTCAGAGACTCTGAAAACTGGAAAACATTGTTCATAATTCTATACTGATTATGTGCAGAGCTGCTAACGTTTTGGATACACTGATTAATTTTACCCCTTTTTTTAAAACATGGCTCCCAGAAAATTTTAAATTAAACTGTATGGAGCTGGGTGTGGTGGCTCACACCTCTAATCCCAGCACTCGGAAGGCTGAGGCAGGAGGATTGTTGTGAGTTCGACACTAGCGTGGGCTACAAAGTGAGCTCAAGGCCAGCCTGAACTGCAAGCAAAACCCTGCCTCAAAAACACACAAAAAAGCTACCTGTGTGCTAATTGCACATTGGCGGTTACATACATGATTTTAAGTGAGGTTTTGGCTGCTGTGGTGTTTCTGTTGGACAGGGCATGATCCAGGCACAGCTGGCACGCGCTTCCCGCAGACCGCCCCGCCAGCTTCCTGTATCTCAGAAGACTCCAAGGCTTTTCCTCCCGCCTCGGTGTTTCCTTCAAATAAAAATCTTGGCTTTTCTGAATTGCACGATAGGAAAGATTTTGGTTACTTTTCCCTTTTCTCCCTTATGATGGTTGTCCTTGAACGCCCCTGCCAGCTTCCCGCGGCTCCTTCACCTCTTACTCTGGGCGTGCAGAACTGTCTGGATCCGGGTCTGGAGCTGGCCCTGTGCAGGCTGTCAGTGGGAGCCTTCAGCACCAGCCGGGATCAGCATTTACAGGGAACATTTACGTTTTTAGAATGTATCACAGTAAAGCCGCTTTGCCTGGGTGCCCTCAGGTCCTCCCCTGGTTGCAGTCAGACCTTCATCTTGCCACTGTCTGCACAGCTCCGGAATCCTCTTCCTGAGTGGCCTTAGAAGGTGTGATCAAAAATACGGTGAAGGCTGCTCTGAGGCCAGTCCTCAGAGGCCAGGCCAGCGCAAAGGCAGCCCCTCAGAACGTGACGCTGTGTCCACGGCCACCTCATTCACCAGGTCTGGGCCTGTGTGACACCCGGCTGTTCCCCACAGTCACAGTGATCTGAAAGGGGAACATTTTACATTGGTTCAGCACGTGAGGGCAGCCACAGACACACGATTGCAGACCCCAAGGAGAGGACTCCAGGGTGGCTGAGAGTCTGAAGTGAGAGGGGAGGCTCTGAGGAGCCGCGTGGCCATGCAGACACCATGTTTTCCTGTCCCCCTCGTATGTTTAGAGTGTAAGAGTCCAGTCTCTTGTGTCCATGCTGAAAGATGCCATCGCAGTCCTTGTATTTCTTCCGTTTTGTGAAACAGGACCCCAGCGTGTCGCGTCAGTTACCTGACACTGTGCAGTTTTTAATACCTGCGCTGAAGTGATTATCAAGTAACTGCCGTTTTTTCCTCCCATCCTGACGTATGTGTTTTCCTCTCTTTTAGAGAGCACTGCTGCCCAAATTTCTCATCAGAGGCCACCTCAACTCCACCAACTGCGCCATCACCCAGCCGCTGACGGGCGAGCTGGTGGTGGAGCACTCGGACGCCGCCATCCGGAGCATCGAGCTGCAGCTGGTCCGCGTGGAGACCTGCGGTGCGTCCCTGCCCTCTGCCTGTCACCCTTGTGTGGTCAGTGGTTAAAATGGTGTAGGTGAGCCGGATCCTAGCACTCCAGGAGGCTGACGCAGGAGGCTTGCAAGTTTGAGCCCAACCTGAGAAACAGGCTGTGTTTCAAAAAAAATTTTTTTTAATCTGCAGATATTACTTTGTTGAAAGGTCATGGGTTCAATTCCCAGTACTGGCAAAAAAGAGATATGGGTGGACGCAAAAGTAAGAACACGTCTCTGCTGCAGTGAACGTCTTGTTTCTTGAGTTTGTTTTCTGTTGATACCACAGATTACCTGAGGCTGGGAAGTTCATGAAGAATAAGGGCTTATTTGGGGGGCTTAGAGTGCCAGGAGAGCATCTGGCAGGGGTCTTCCTGCTCTGCCATCTTGCAGCAGGCTGTGTCACCAAGGGAGACAGAGAGCTCACTTTTGCTGACTGATTGATCAATGGATTGGTTGTTTTTTCTGAGACAGGGTCTCACTGAGTAGTTCAGGCTGGCTGTGAACTCTGTGCTCCTCCGGCCGTGGCTTGGGGTGCAGTGTGTGCCCCCAGCCTGCTGAGAACTCACTTCTTCGGCACCCTACTCCTGCTGGTCACCTCCCAAAGCCCTGGGAACACTGTGAGCAGGGCAGGTCGGGGCGCTGTCCGGAGCCACGTGGGACAAGGGTGTGGGCACAGATGGGGGCAGAGCTGGCCTGAAGGGCCCAGAGACATGACTGCCGTGTCCTGACCCGTGTGGTTCCCTCCCCTCCCCGCCCCAGGGTGTGCAGAAGGCTACGCCCGTGACGCCACAGAGATTCAAAACATTCAGATTGCCGACGGCGATGTCTGCCGGGGCCTCTCGGTGCCCATCCACATGGTCTTCCCCCGGCTCTTCACCTGCCCCACGCTGGAGACCACCAACTTCAAAGTGGGTAAGTGGCACGGGCTCACTGTGGGCACAGAGGCCTCATCGCTGCTCCGAGCACTGCCAAGCAGCCACTGCCCAGGGGTTTGTGGAGGTGGTGGTGCCGTGTCGCTCTGTTCCTACGGGGCTGCACTGTCACACGGGTCACCCTGTCACTGCAGGCTCGGTCATGTGGCGTGAAGCCTGAGTGAGGGGTGGGCGGGCAGACGGAGGTGTGGATGGTGCCAGCCAGGACCGCGCTCTTGGCCTCTGTGTGCCTGTGAGGATGGGAGCCCGAGGCCTCAGGCGTGTCCCGCACGGAGTTTTCTACCCTGCTTTTCACATAGGCCCCACGTACAGCGGCTCCATCCATCAGCTTTCACAGCTTGACCAGAGTTGCAGGAGACCCAGTTTAGAGGAGCACATCTGTGTTTTGGCTCTGGAGGGTTCAGTCCGTGGTCAGCTGGTTCCAAGGCCGGGGGCAGGGCATAGGAAAGCTGCTCACGGCAGCCAAGGTGCAGAGAGCGTGGGAGCCGGAGGTGGGGGGGAGACCAGGCTGGGGAGGGGCTCGGCCTTCAGAGGTCTGGGCCAGGCCACTGCCGCCTCCTGCTGGGCCGCACCTCTGCCATCTCCATGAGCTCTGGATGGGGGCCTCCATCGATGAGGTTGGAGACCCTGTGGCTCCGTTGGCTCTCAAGTCCTTGCCTTGGGTGGACATGGAGTTTTGACCTGTGACAGTGGTCTTCAGTGATTTTGCCCAAGCCCCAGGTGACACCAGGCGGGACGGAAGCCCGGGGTACCCGAAGGCTCCCTGGCCTCTAGCGCTCTTGCGTCCCCAGAGAGCCTGGCGTTGGGTCCCGGCTGCTCCCGCTGAGTGCACACACGCCCTCTGTCTCCCCACCCCACAGAGTTCGAGGTCAACGTCGTGGTGCTGCTGCACGGCGATCACCTCATCACCGAGAACTTCCCACTGAAGCTGTGCCGCACGTAGCCTGGGAGCGGGGAGCAGGCACGACAGAGGGATGGCTTCCCAGCTGGCAGGGCTCCCAGGCCGGCAGGGCACCGCCTTCGAGATTGTTCTGTATCAGAAATGGACCTGACCGTCGATTCCTCGGCTTCTGCTCCGTGGGCACTGCTGCTAAGACCGAAACAGAGACCATCCCGCAGGGTGCGGTAGACACAGCACTTTGTCACGAGACCTGGGAAACATCTCTGCTGGCTCCTGAGTTCCTGCTCCTCTGTCGGCCTGGAAGGCAGTGGTGTCTGCAGCTTGAGCTTTGCTGGAAAGGCACACCCCGGGGACACGAGGGAACCCCTCTCTGAGTGGCCTGGCATGCCGATAGTGAGAGTCTGACCAGGCCACATGAAGCGTGCCTGCCACGTGCAGCTACTTGTGAGGTCAAGGACGCTGTCCTGGGAGGCCTGCCCAGGGTGCCCGCTGGAAACTCGGGCCCTCTCCCCCTGTCCTGCAGTCCTGTGTGACGTTTTTCACTATAACTTCCAAGTTTTGGGGGACTGGAATAGAAGCATTCATGCTCTGAGGGGATTCAGCATCCTTGGCCGGAGGTGGGTGTTTATAGCCCGCAGAGCTGGCACTGTGCCCTCATGCCACCAGATCCCCAGGGGTTGAGGGGAGAAGAACAATCTGTGTGGTATTGAATGGCAGCAGCGTCCTCCCAGGTTGGTGGCGAGGGTGCCTCTGCAGGGAGGTGCCAGGCGCATGCCCTTGGCTTGTACGCTTGGGCTTGCAGCTAGAGTTTCCCTCAGCCTCGCACCCCGGCTCCCTGAGTGGTGAGTCTGTCTCCTCCTAGGGCCTCCACGCTGCCTGTGAGCCACACCTGCCGGGCCCCTGCAGGCGTTGCCCCTGCAGCAGGCTGGGGCTGAAAGCCTCCGGCTGCCCCGCCGCCCTGCAGCACCCGGATCTGCTTTGCCAAGGGCTTCACCAGTGACCCTGTGAATGCAAGCTGAGTCATCTGAGAGCTGCCTCCCAGAGGATGCTTTTCTGGCTTGTAAATCTTTTATACTCACATGAGTGCAATAATTCTCTGTTCCTGGTGATGTGTTTAAACACGGAAGCCAGAACAAAGAGGCCGTGCCTTTTGGGAAATCTGTAAGGAAGAAATCATTTGTAATGAAATAAAAAATTCTAATGAATCTTGAAAAAAACTAAATAAATTTTGAGAAAAGCCTTGGTATGTGTATAGTGTGTACTTTTTTTAGTAAAAGGATAAGTATCTTCAGGAATAACCATTACCTGAGTGGCAGCCCGGCCACCTGTGTGATTTCCCTCAATCCTGAGCAGCCAGGTACGCGATCGAGCTGGCCGCTCCCCTCCCCTTTCCACCTGATGTGTCCATGGTGTTACTATGCAAAGCGTGTGGCTGTTTAGACAGCAGTTGCTCTGACTGGCTAGAGCTGGGCATGTCCATTGACCCAGCCTTAGGAGCTGTCAAGTTTGCCATTTAGACCAACAAGAAATAAGGCAGGAAAGCTGTGAACGGTGAATCTGAAGCAGTATTGTTCTGGGACTGTCAGGGCAGGAACACATATCTGTGATTCCTGGAGCAGAAACAGCCTGGCTCTACTTCTTAGCCCCTTGCCACATTGTGGGCTCAGGATAAAAGTAAGATCAATACCGGACATGGCACATTAAAGAGAGCTGGAGCCCAGGGCCTGTGTCCCCACCCCAGGAACCCTGGCAGCCTGGCGGGTTCTGCTGTCACCCAGAGTCTGTGTGGATCTGCATTTCCCTGTAAAAAGCCAGGGAGTGGAGAACCACACTGGCAGTGACCAGATTGCCAGTGGTGTCACCAACGTCTGCCTGTACAGTTGGGGCTAGGTTTTCTGGAACCCATGACCCTGGTACCAGACTTAACTTCCCAGGTGCCTCTGCAACAGCTGTGGTTCTGCAGCAGCATGGAGTCAGGTGACAGCACAGAGCAAAGGGTGGGACGTGGCCTCATCTGTGCCACAGTGACCCCAGCAGACAAAGTGATGGGGAAAGGTGTCCATGCTGTGCTGCTGGAGGTCAGCGTGGCTACCCAGGGTCCGAGTCCACGCTGTCCCAGGCTGTGTCAGGCAGAGTCCCTGAGTCTGGACCCTGCCTGTGCTGTCGTGCACGCTCATGCCTGCTGGGCAGCCCTTTCCTGCCAAGCTCTGATGGACTGCAGTGAAGGCACCTGGAGAAGGTGATTCAGCAGGAGGGGCAGGTTAGGATGAGGTTACTGAAACAAGTCTCACAAGTTGCAGTTCCCCACTTGACCTCCTAATTCCTGTAAAGAAATTACAAAGTAGGCACCATAAAGAGTCCTTTCTTGAAACACTTCATTGGCTAAAGAAAGAGACTTCATCCCCCTTCATTTGTATGCTACCCCAAGGAGGTCTTGAGGTACCCTAGGGTTCTCTCCCAAGCAAGAGGATTAGGGGATACGACATACCATGGCCAGTAACCTTTCTGGCTCCTGTGTCTGGGCTGTCCTTTTGGATGCTCTGTGTCCTACACTATTACCCTGGTGAATTATCCTTTTCATGGCCCCTACTGACTGAATACCTGCTATCCTGAGGTAGCTTCCAGAACAACTCTTTTGGTTTTATTTTAGAAAGTTTCCATCTCAGGCTTCTGTTTTGTGGAAGTTTCCCTATAAATATTTCCATCTTGGTGCATTGTTGACATTAGCAGTACCAGGTTGTTTTTCTTTACTGTATCTGAGGCTGATCTTGGATCTTTCTGAAATCCACAGATTGTGCTATATAGTTACCTGTTTTGAAGTTGCAACATTTCATTTGGAATTTCTTTGTTCCTACACAGTTTCTGCCTGGTCAGTTTGTATCCTGTTAGCAAAGGTAACATCCGTTACAAACTGGTAAGTCAATTGTTCATTGTCACATTCTGATTAGTTTAGGAGATGGGAGCAACAAGTCTGCTCACAACATCAATCAGTTTATTACTGTATGAATAAGGACCTGATGGCTGAGTTGCAGGATAAATTTCTAAATTGAAAGCATAAGTCTTTGTATCTACAAAGGCAGACATTTTTATGCCATATTTTGACTCATTGTTCTTGTACATTCCTGCAGTTACCATGAGAAATCCCTGCTAAGTACAGTACACTAATGAATGCTTTTGGTGGTCAGACTAAATATATTTTTAAATATAGTTATTGGTGCAAACAGAATGTTTTACTCTCTCAGCCTTTGTGTATTTTAGAGCATCTTGTAGCATTTCATCTGTTACAGTTTCCAGCATTGAATGGCAGTGCTGGTATTCTGGCCAATTTGTTGTATTTCTGCCAAGACCTCCACTGGATTTTTTTGGACCTAGTTCTTATATTGCATTGTTCCATTTGGATTCGTGGCCATTTCTCAACATTTTGACCAGTCAAGTATGTACTCACGCTGCTGTTTCCTTTATCATCTAAATCACAGAATCTGCTTTCCTGAGTCTGTATGGGTTGATTCTTGCTCCATTTCACTTCACAGCAATTTTGGCTCACATGGCCAGCATCAGAGCCGCTGTCATCATCCGCCCACATCACTCTTCTGTTATAAAGGCATATATTTTACCATAATCCATCATCTTCACCCAAGCATGAGAAATCTGATAATTCACTTTTGACCTCCTCCAAAATTTGCAAATCTGGCTTCTCACGTGCCATTGTACTGAATTGGGCTGCTTCTACCAGGCAAGTCAAAAGAAAAAAAGAGTTTTTAACTAATCCCGGAGTGGTGTGGGTCTGTTGGACCTCTGATCCTCTGTTGTGGCAAGATGCAGAGAATACTCCATGGAGGCCAAGAATAAGGCAGACAAGCTTCATTAACCAGGAGATGACACAGGACATGGGGTCTGGAGGATGGTCTCCCAGGACTGGTGTCTGGACATTAAATAGGGGGAGATTTCCAGATTTGAGGTTTGCTCTTTATTTGGTGCCATTTTTGGTGCTAGGGTTGGAGATGGAGTGGCTTTAGAGGCGATAGGGACTTCCTGAGATGTCATCCAGGACAGAGGTCTGTCTTGCGGCTGCTTAGTCTGTGTGATTCATCAAAGAGGAAACTGGGAGGAGTAGGCAGGGGACTCAGGAGGGCTAATGTGGAGTCTGTTTAAATATGTACATGGCAAGGTGACACAGCGTAAGGTGGGTAAAAATCCTGTTTTACCACTTCTGCAAACACGCACACACCTTATACACCATAGCAGTGAGGAAACACACAGATTGCTTCCTGAGCCCCTCAGGCAAGTATAGAGATACACAGCTGGCTCCTGTTACACTAAAGTGCAAACTGTGTAACTCAAGAAAAGTCGGGATGGGCCCACTGGACCCCATGTCCTGTACCTGGCCTTGAGTGTCTGTGGACATTTCTTAATCAGGAAAATGGCTTCCTTTCTTTGCTTCTTTCTAGCGCTTCGTAGAGTGTCCTGGCCAATGGCCAGGGAATCCAGGTTGGGCACCAGTGAGCCACGCCCAAGAGCCCCTGAGTTGCTGATCTGGGGAGGGGAAAAGGAGGTGATTGCTTGGTTTTGATGCATTGCCAAGGCTCAGGTCCCTGGTGTTGAGACCTCGTAACCATGTTCTGCCAGGAATTTGAGGACAGTAATTGTATTATTGTCCAAGTCCTCATGGGTGCACCTAGCTATTAATAAATAGTCGTCCATATATTTTTTTAAGAGTCAACTCTTAATTCTTTGGCTAATGCATCCCAAGTAGAAGAGGACTATCCCTAGCCATTGAGGAAGTGCTGTCCAAGTATACTGAATAGTCCCCTGTGATTTAGGGTTTTGCCATCCAAAGGTGAGTAAACATCCTGGCTCCAAATGGAGGGAGATACAAGAAAAGGCTTCTCTCAGATCCAGGACAGTGAAGTCTGTAGCTTCCTGGGGGCCTGGTGAGCAGGGGTAAGGGTTAGGGACTGGGGTGTGTAGGAGTGAGTGCCTCATTAATTGCACAGAGGTCTGTAACAGACTTGTACTCCCTAGGGGTTTCTTCATGGACAGAGTGGGAGGAGGAGCATTATAGAGAGACTGACAAATGTCCATGTCTCAGAAACTTAGTTTAATTTGAATACTTCTTGGCCTCAGGTTTGAGGGGGTACTGTCTGCTCCAAGGATGGTCTACTTCAAGTTTAAAGTGTGCCTTATATTTTTAAGACAAGTTCTTGACACATACTTCAGGCTGGCCTTGAGTTCACTATGTAGCCCGTGCTGGCCTCAAATTTGTGGTGATCCTCCTGCCTTGGCTTCCAGAATGCTGGAATGACAGGTATGTGCCGCTACATCTGGTTTGAACTGTGTGTTTAGGAGGTCTGCGTTCACAGCACACCCTGGTGTGTCACTGTCCCAAACTAATTCTGTACTGGGCTGTTATTGCTCAGGAATCTGCTGAAGTCCTGCATTAGGAGTATTAAGGGGTACTAACAGATGGTTCCCTGCTCAGACCGCACAGAAACTGTATCTGACCTCCCTAAGAGGTACAGACGCTGCATCTTCCTGACAAAGGAATAGGAGATCCAGGACATGCAGAGAGAAGGGGTCGTGGCAGTGGATCCAGCCTCAGAACTCGGGGAAAGTACAGCGTCCCTCCTCGGGCTGCCCATCAGCACCTACAGGTAACATCAGAGACGGGGCAATAGCCAGGCTAGCTCAGGACACAGGAGCTGCTCCTGGGTCCAGGAAGAATGTGCCTCCCCTCCCACCGTGCCAGCCCCCCCCCCAGGCTCTGCCGGAGCGAGCCTCACAGCTCTGATGGCGGTGGACCTGGAGCACCGGCTTCCTCTCGGGGGGAACCCGTCTGTCACCGGTTTGGCATGAGACGCTGCCAGAACAGGGCCTTCTAGCCTGGTTTGGGTTATGACATTTTCTCCAGTGATCTCCTTTCAGGATTTCTGCCGCCTCCGTGTTGCCCTGACGTGGAAGTTGAATTACATCATGCGAAGCCACATCTCTGCCTCGGATCTCTTTTCCTTCTTTACCTGCTCTGCTTGGTGACGCCTATCGCAGACTTTGAAGGCCTCCTGCACCTGCGCCCACAGTGGCGTTTGGGGTCCTGCCTCAGGCATCTGGGACTTTTCCCTTGTGCGTGAAGCACTGTCCATTACATACTGTTGTGTCCATCAGGGCTGTCCTCTGCCAGTGCTGGGCCAGCGCTAGCGTACTTTCAGAAGACCTCTGCGGGATTTGAAATACTGCACTTTCTCC